TTTTAATAGATCTGTACTCTGTCCTATATGCAATAAAGACCATAAAAAAGAAAATATAAGAAATCATATAGAGGGTAGTTGGGGTAGCGGCGAATATGTCAATATAAAAACTTATCGTCTCTATTGTTATATAAATAAATATCAGAATTCAATCTCAATAGTAACCATAAGAGCATAGGTTAATAATCGCAAATTGCATTACAAGAATCATGTAAAAATAAAACATGGGAGGGCCGTGGGGCCCCTTCTTTATTTAATATTTTTTTGCCAAACGGGCAATATACAAATAAAAAATAATTTTTTCCAATTATACATTAATTATTGTCATTGGTCTTGGAGGTATTATTATGGTTGTTCTTGGGGGTGTCATTATTATCATTGTTCTTGGGGGTGTCATTATCATTGTTCTTGGGGGTGTCATTATCATTGGTCTTGGAGGCGTTACTATCACTGGCCCTGGGGGTCTTATTTATCTTGTTCTTGGAGGTGACACCTACTCTGATAGGAGTGATGAGAGAATCCTGCCAAGAATGGTCAGTGGTGGTTTTATTACTGCTCATTTTTCGTTCCTAAATACAAAAAACCATAGTAAGTAAAAATTCGTCTCCATATTGATTACCATGAAATGGAATGGCAAATTACTTTAAAAATTAATTACGGGTGGGTAAAAAAATATGTACGAACAAAAATATTATTATAACCTACCTACAAGAAACAAAAAATCGCTTTTTTATACCGTCCATTTACTAGATCTAAAAAACCTGCCAAAAAAAGTTACATGATTAGTAATTGCGCTACTCTAACACTGCCAAATCACACTTAACAAAGCAATTCCGTTCGGTTATAAGTTCTAAATACTGATCTTTTTTTGATGTTTTTAGGTAAATTAAACCCCCTTAGATTCAACGATCGGTACTACAAAGTGAAAAAGTCAGCGATCTCGACGATCTGGGAATGGCGGAGATTCCAAGTTCCTGTAACATATGAATTTTGATAAAACTACTGATTAAGAATGTTATACTCATTGCCCTTATAGCCCTTTTAAGTCCCATTCGTGCATTTTCTTATCGCAGGATCGCGTAGGGTCTAGGTATTATTCGTATTATTCGTAATGTTCGTTAATAAAAAAATCGACCGTGAGAATTAATTCTGCGTTAAGGTAACACCGCATAAAATTTAGACCCTTTGGGTCATTGCGAAG